AACACTTAAAAATAACTAAAATACACATTTAGTTGAGTTTTTCCTCTGAATCAGGTCTGTCCTGTAGGGCGCTGTACTAGGGGGGTTAAAGGTTTCTCTGCTTTAGCACAGATGATTCTGATGATTGCAGTTAAGGGGAAAAAAAAACAGGTAATCAGCCATCAGTGGAAATCAGCTGTGAAGGAAACCTTTGAAAACTGCAGGACAGCAGCTATTGAGGACCGACTTTGGACATACCTGCTCTAATTCATCAACAAATCAATTCCAGGGAAATGTTAATGTATAGTAAAATAGCTAATCCTCTGTGGTTTGATTGTTGTGCCAGTGTCTTGCCTCTTGACCTCTGACCTTCCCTGTGAAATGCTCTCTGGTCCTGTGGCTTTTAACTTTTTCTTTTTTTTGTAAAATAACGCAAGATGACAGCAGAACTACTGCTGAAATTGGCATGCTCAGTGAGGTTTACAACATTAACTAGAATCATGCAAGTTTTTTTTTATTTTATTTATCTTCTGCTGATTCTGATGCAAATTAAAAAGCTTAAAACTTTCAGCCTTCTTTAAAAATACAAAATATATATCGAAGCAAAGGAGTCTACCTTGCTAGAGTTAAAGCATCATATTGTCTCAAAATCCAGTTGAAATACTCTTCTTCAGCCATCTCCCCGAAAAAGAATTTGTTTTTACATTTTTGCTTAATTTAATCAGATATTTAGGAATCATTATTATATGTCCTTAAGGTCAAAAGGCCCGCAGCAACACAAAAGGAGCTGCTGATAACATCTAGTTGGATCCTACATGTGAAAACTATCTTCTGTATTCTCCATATTTCACAGTGAAGGAGAAAGTCTGCAACAGAATCCCTTTATTACAATGAAAACTGCCCAGACCTTGAACACCCTATTTGAAAATGTGTTATGGTCCAATGGTTTAGAACCAAAAAGGTGTCCACCAATAAAATACTATAAGACAGTGAAGCATGGTGGTGGCAGCATCATGATCTGAGGTTACTCGTCTTCACATTATGCTGAGATTTAACTGGTATCTTTCAACTAGAATGTTTTGGCCCCTAACTCCAGGTTAGAACACTGAAGACAAAGAGCAACTTTCAGACAAAGTCTCTGGAGTGACCTGAACACAGCAGCAGACTGAATCAGATTTGGAGAACTTTAACAGGCAGAGAGGGCAAATACGAAGATGTAGGATACTCATAGACTCCTTTTGAAGTCCAAACACTTGAACTGAGTAAAAAGTTGCCTCAACATAACACTTCCCATTATCAAAGACATTGCAGTCTTTAAGTTTTCTTTAAATTTCCCTTTTATCTGACAGTTTTTGTGTGTTTTAGTTGATCTGTGCAGAGTAAATTTAGTCAGGAAAAGAAAAGAAAAGTTTTTAAGTCTTCTAGAATTGAAAAACTGACCTTAGATAGAAACCTTTTAACCAATCAGTCTTTATTTTTTATTGAATAACTCTATAAGTGCCCTCCAGATGGTGTGTGGTGAGTTGGTGCTATATAAATAAACTGATTTAATTCCAAGTTATTTATAATCTCTATTTTTAATATCCATCACACCCCAGAACCTTTTAAGAGAGGTCCAAAAACCTTTCAGACCTCCCATGTATAAATTATGGCAACATCACTGCATCGATTTATGATCCTTTCTGCATCATGGGTCATGTTTCATGCTGCATACGTCTTCACTTAAACTAATGTCTGATATATTAAGGCTTCAGATTAAATCTAGACCCATTTTGTGAAAGTTCCTGCAGAGAGTATGGTTAATCTCATCAAGGACAGAGAAAGATCCCTTTCAGGTCCTCACAGACTGATTTTTTGCAGATTCCTCTTGACAATAGGAAGAGGAATCAGCCGGTAGTATCGTGCTGCAAAAGGCAGAAACTAATTCTACAGGAGGCTTACCTCCAGCTGAGATATTACAGAAAATATGAATGCTGCTATTATCAGTGATAGGTAACAGTAAAAGGGAAAGCTAAGGTTTACTTTGCAGCAGTTAAAAGCAGGAGGCTATCTACTGATTGATCTAGAGAAGATAAATGGTTCATATCAAATACAAGTTGATATTGTGGCTCTGATATGTAAAATTTAAAATATAAATGTAAGTTATTTAAGCTGTATTTATTTAAAATTCCTGTTAAATTGTTTCCATTCCAGGAATAAAGGATCACCTGTCCTGATGAGTTATAGTCTGTGAGACATGAATGCAGTGATATTTCTGTCTGACACATTTAGCAGATTTTTCCAGTGGGACTTTTCTCAGCAAGAGTGCACAATTAAGGAATAAAATAGTAGCTGTAGAATGGTTAGAGATATACTCACACCATTTCACATGCATGTTGATGACTTCTCTTCCTCAAAAAAAAAAAAATCCCATCTTTAAACAAAGTGTTGTGAAGAATGTGACTTTAGCAACTGATAGGAAGAGTACATTTTTAGCAGCTTTCTTTTTTTACAGCCTACAATCTAAGCTTTTAACTTCAGCATACTTTTATCATCTTCTCATAATGCACTGTTGGACATTTTTTTACTTTTTTATTTTGTAATCTGAAATAGATTACTTAAAATAAAGTCACAGGCAGCAATCTACTCTGGGGTAACGAGTTTGCGGATAAGAAACATCAAACTATTAGTGATGAGCTTAATAAATACTTCCCTCTGAAGAAAGACTAAACCCATTGATAAGAAGCCATAAGAAGTCCTGTTTTAAAGCTGTAAAGGACACAGCAACATCGGAAGATGATCAAAATAAGAAAAAACTTGGGTCCTGTGGCATAAATACAAAACATTATGTATGACAAAAACTAGAACAGCAGAGGCTCACCTCTCAGCAGAGCACGAGCATGCACATTCAGCCAGAGCAGCGGTGGACTGGTTTATATCCAGTCTATTCATTTTTTAGAATGGCCTACTCAAAGTACAGCCATAAATATCAGTGAAAATTTGGGGCAAGACTTGGAAAATAAATGTTCACAGGTTCTCTGCATGCACTCTGAACTGAGCGTGAGCTGCCCTGTTGCATTAGGCCAGTGGTTCTCAAACTTTTTCTGTCATTCCCCACTTTGGACAAGGGGGAATTTTCAAGCCCCGCCTGTCCCCATCGCCCCAACACAATGCTAATGAAATATGAAACAATCTTAAAATGTTCCAATTTTATTGAAGTAACAAGTAGTATATAAATACAAACTATCTACATCAAATAACAGCAAGCTCAAAAATAAAGAAAATAAAAATGCAGCTGTGTCAAAATTTGTATCAAGCTCAAAGATAGAAAAAATTAAAGTGCCACTCTGCAATCTGTTAATAAAAGAAAAGAAGTGAAATCCATCTGGCAAGACAGGTCTATTTATCCCTGCATTAGTGGCTGCAATGAGCCTGTTTTGCATTGCACAGTTTCTCAAAACGGGGTTGCAGGCTTGATACTGCCACTCTCAAGTCATGCTTTGTTTTCAGTGAAGCAACAGCTGAAAAGCCCATCTCAGAGATATGATGTGGCAAAGGGAAGAAGAATGCACACAGCTCTCTGCCCGATGAGTGGATACTCCCTCTCCACTCCAAACCAGAAACATGAACATGTGGCTGTGTGAATCAAACGCCGTTATTCATTTAAGATAAAATATTTAAAATTCAGTTATTTATGATCAACCTGCGCCGTCAATCCCGGCGCATGTGCGCTTTATTTGCAGTCTGGACGCTGAGGGTAAACATGCTGTGTCCCCACCTGTCACGTCTCAATTCCCCACCAGTGGGTCGCGCCACACACTTTGAGAACCGCGGCATTAGGCTGGTAGAGAGAAACCCTCAAAAAAGGTTTGTAAAAAGTAGGAGGGTGACTATAAATGCACTCCACAGCTGGGATGTTTTAGAGATCTACTTGACATTGTGATACCCTGTAATGGTTCATCATTTAGTATCACAATAAAAAAGCAATATTCCTGTAACCTGCCAAATGAAAAAGGATGAAAACGGATATTCCAGTTGCAGAACAGTTCTCAGCTAACAAAACAAACACTCCGGTTTGACAAACTGCTGCAGAGTCAATGATAAAGTGACCGTCTGCTGTGGCTCCATGTTCATCCAGGGGGAGCGAGTTCTTCAAAGTCAGTGACTCCATGCAATAAGCTGGCTTCCTTTAGATATACAACTTCTAACCAATCTGTCTAGATGTTTTTATTGAATTGTCTTCATAAAGTGCCTTAAGATGATATGTGTTGTGAAAAAGAGGTGCATGAAAACAAATAAAAGGAATTAATGTAAATTTAATAAATTAGCAACTGGTTCAAGTAATTAATTTAACATAAAACAACAGAAACTGCAGCTTTGGGTTTGATGATTTGCGCAAGACCTCCCTCAGCTCAGTTTTCCAGTTGCACTTTGATGCAAATCAATATTTATTAATTTGCTAATGTGCATCTGTCTCTTTTATACTCTGATCAGTGATTTGATTAACTGGTTTGAGACCAGTTTTCAGTTGATAATATACATTAAAGATCATATTCATATCCACGATTCGATTGAGAAATGTTTAATTAACATGATGAATTTATTTTGTGGAGAACCCGAGATTCAACAGCTAGAAAAACGAATATAATGACCACCAGTAGAGGGCGCTAATCATCGGACACTGTTTGGTGGACAGCTCCTGGTGCTGAAAACTCAGCAATCACAGAAACTGCACAATCGAACTGCCACAGTTCATTACAAAAACACAAACCACGAGCAGCGCGTGGATTTCCACGCATCCCCAGACTCTCGTAGATGCAGGACTACATTAAAAGGTTCATGGGAATTTGTCTTTCGTTTTACATATGTAAGAGAGGGGAAGGAGATCTCATTTCCCTGAAACCAAGTCCAGAAACTTAAAGAGCAGCAAAGTGGTGGATAGCATGAGGGTAAAAGAAAAATAGGACTGAATGGAAGAAAAAGAGGAGAGAGAAAAGGAGATAGAGTGGATGAGTTCAGTTTTGAGAGGATGAAAGACTCACTTGGTTAGTGAAGAGCTGTGCGCTCTCGGAGATGAGCAGCTGGACCAGGATGTGCAGCCCGGAGGTGAAGAGCCCGGCCAGGATAGCCCAGGTGAGCGGCAGCGGCAGCATGCTGTAGGTGGCGAACAGCGTAAAAAGAACATACCCCACCCCGTCCCCCAGCAGACCGTAGCCCAGGCCGGCCGCCAGGATCTGCGTGGCCATTGCCACCCAGGTGACCACTCCACTGTACTGCAGGTAGCTGTGCGAGGTGGTGTCCTTCCGCACCACCACTAAGGCACAAATGACCACCTCTATGCCGGTGAAAAAGCCCAGCAGCATCCCCTTGATGGGGTCCATGGGGCTGGATGCCAGGGTGAGGTGCAGCACCAGCAGGGTGAGTTTGGTCACCACGTCCAGGATGTTCATCACCACCACGGATTTGCGCCTCTGGCCCAAGAAGTAGCGCTGGTAGAGCCGCTCCAAGTCGCGGGACTTAAAGGCGTTCCGCAGCGTGGGGAAGATGACGCCCCGGTATGTGTAGCCCCAGTTCAAGAAGAAGTCCGAGTTGCTGGGCGCGCAGTCGATTTGGAGGAACCCCAGGTCGCTGCTGGCGCGCTCAGGGAACACTTTGGTCCCACCGTTGTTGTGCCGGTCCCCTACCGAGGTCCGACCCGCAGACTGCTTCCGCGCGCCCTGGATCGGGTCAAAGGGGTCGTCTTTGACCCCGCCGCCGCCGCCCTGCTCGTGGATGAAGCGCTGCTCGGTGATGTGCCGCACCGCGTTCTGCCACAGCAGCCGTTTGGGCCGCGCGCTGCCGCCGCCGCTGCCGCTGCTGTTGTCGCTGCTGCTCGGCGTCTTGTTGATGGTGTACAGCTCCTCAGTGGCGCTGGAGCAGCGCACCTCCGACAGCTCCATCCCTCCTCCTCAGCTCCGATCGTCTGTGTCAATGTGTCTCCCCCCTTCTCCTCCTTCTTCTCCTCCACTCCGGACTGTCAGTCGGATCAGCGGTTCTAGGGGCACGACGTCTTCTCGTGCGCATCGAACCGAGGGCGCGTGCTTTTCTTTCGGGTTGGGGTGTGAACGGCGCGGGGCAGAGCGCGGCTGGAGGTCATTGTCAAGAGAGCAGATCCCTTAAAGAAGCACTGGTACCACTCCCGCCTCTCCTGGACCACCCATCATAATCCCCGTGTAGTAAAATCACCGGCTGGTGCGTCCACACAGCAGCAGCAACCTGAGCCACTGTGACCACACCGTTGGCACCATCGGGGGTCTCGGCGCCGCGCCAAACCAGGACCCCTAAAAAACGAGGCGGGTCTCAGAGTGAGATTATGTTTCAAATTACTACGATGAAGGAAATCCCAGTTTTTCCCTTACGGTTCCCAAAAATGATCAGCAGCCGTGGGGGAAAAGGCAGAGCAACAAATCCATCAAATCCAAATTAAGAATCCAGAGAAAATTGATCATCTCAAACTTGTTGCTGCGCGTGAGCCTCCACATTCAAGACCAGAGCTCCATCCCGCGTGATGATAGCACCTGTCTGACTGCGCGAGGCAAACAGGCATGCTCCCAGTCAGTAAGTAAATAAGGCGTCCGATGCGTCTCCGTGCAGCGCGAGGATGAGCTTCACCCTCCTCCTCCTCCTGCTCCTCCTCTGGTCTCTCCCTATCAGACTGCCTCGGTTCCTCCTCCTCCTCTGTAGTGTTTAAAAGCGGCGGCCGCGTGCAGAGGCGCAGAGAGCGGCGGCTGGTCTCCTCCGCTCTGCTCCGCTGAGGTTTTTGACGTCACCGATGTATGTGCGCCCTCTCTCCCTCTCCCTAACCCACTGTGTCATCCCACGCTCCTCAGCTCATCCTTTTGTCTGCTCACTCTCTGCTTCCCTCCTCACTCCACGCCTCCTTCCTAAGATCCGTCTCTTCGCTTTTCCTGTCGGTAACTGGGTCACTTTTGGATCAGGCGCAGGCAGCCTGCATTTTGGATGAGTTTGCAAAGGATTTCCTCGGGATTTCAGTTGAAATCTGGAAACTTGATTTTATTGACAGAGACCTAACCAAATGTTATGAGTTTCGCATGGAAAAGTTCTGCTTTCCAAGGCCAACTCAGTATTAGGCCAAATCTGACAGCAGAGATCAGATCCCCATAGAATAGAATAGAATAGAATAGAATAGAATAGAATAGAATAGAATAGAATAGAATAGAATAGACAAGCTGTGGGTATATATTTTATTGGAATTGCACGATAATCTAACACAAAGTAAATGAATTGTTGTTAGTTGAAAAGAATTAGTCTGCAGGTTGTGAGATGAAATTGTGTTGCAGCTTCGGTTCTGTCTCCTCCAGGTTTGAACAGACTGAATCTTTTTGCACAAACACTAATACAAGCTCAGAAGCAGTCAGTTTGGATGGAGATTAACAATCACTTACAACAACTTTTTGCCACAGACTCCTTTAGGTTTGGATTTTTACTGATGAAGGCAAACTTTATTCTAAATCGATCCAGTTGGGTTTCTAGTGTATATACCCACATTCAACTTAACATTTGGGTGCTTATTTCTAATGCAAGAATGCAAGAATCTGAATTTAACTTTAAAGTCAAGGTATACATGAAGGGTAAATATGTCAAGTTTTCAATTTATGACCTTCATTTTTATGTTCCCATTTTTTTATTGAGAACATTATGGTTTGATTTATGCTTTATGCTTTAGCTTCAGTGCTGTTTTTGCTGATTAAAACTTTTTTTTAATGTTTTATTATATCCATCTAAAATAGGGTCCAGATATAGTTCACTTTTGGGGAGAGTTTGTGTTCACCCTTGTAGTAGTAAGACCCTTGTTCAGAGGTTTACTGTTTTTTTGATTAGACATTCGTGTTTTGGCAGCTGGCTAAATTCAGCTCAAATATCAATAAAGCTCAGAATGATAAAGCTGTAGATTTTGTCTAATCTGGGGCTCGTGGCCCCTCGGATGTTTCAACAGTAAACTCCATATTATCCATTTAGAAAATTCCCCAGAGATCTTTGCATTACTGATCTTTTACCACTCTGATGCTGGTTAAAGAGAGATTAGCCACCAAGTTGCATAAAATATAGACAGAATGTGGTAAAATCTGCTTGAATGAGGTTCCATGGTCCTCTTGCTGTGTGTGAATCTCTTGCCCCACTTTTCCTTATCCGTGAAACGTCGTGCCAAGGCCTGTCAGTGCTCGCTGGACTCGGATTAGATGGGGTAAAATTACTCCCTCCTAAACCTCGAGTTCCCTGTGAGGAGATGCAACCCCCCACGCACGGCTCCAGGCAGAAGGGAGAGTCGACTCATTGCTATTCAGTCTATTTTTACCTCGTCTCTTCTGCCCTGTCTATGCAGTAGCTCTTCCTTCTGCTGATTCCCAAGAACAGAGAATTACAGAAATCCAAACAGTCGGAATCAAACATTCCTTTCCCCATCCCAAAGTTGAGCAGAGAAACAAATGGGAGGGAAAACTCCTGAGAACCTCTGCTGCAGAAACAGAAACTGCAGCATTTCCATAACAAACAGCATACATAACAGAAATTATATTTTTTGGGAAATTCGACAATGCATAAAATGATGTAGGCATAAGGGGATGAAATATAATGCAATCTAATGGGGATGACTAAAGTCAAATGTGGCTCAGTTTCCATTAGAAGATATCAATTTAATAACAGTATGGCAATATTTGACCGTCAAATCATGTCATAGTTAATGAAAGTATGCCCACGTTCACTACTAGAAATTGGCTTTACTATATTCTAAAGTGATTTAAATATAACCTTTAATATCTGATCAACCCCACAGATTAAAAATAATTCCAAACTAAACTCCCAATTTGAAACAGGAATGATTTTAGGCAGTTTGTTGGTCTAAAACAGTTAGACTTTGGTGATCTTAACCCAGGTAGTCAGAGGTTGAAAAAAAACATCATTACCATTAGATCAAATCCTGAATTTAAAATTGTGAACAAGTTGGGATGAAAACTATTTCTCCTTTAGCTCAGGGGAGAGTGAGGAAAATCTTAGACAACAGAGGTCTGTTTCTGAGATTAAACATGTATTTCCTTTAATTAACTTACTGTAGAAGTTTTTGGCTTTTATTGAGTTGGAAAATAACACATGCTAGAAAAAGCCCTGGAGGAGATATCAACTCGATGTGACATTAACAATAGGCCTGCATAAACTACTAAATCCTGACACCACAAAATGAAGATGTTTAAATAGCAAGGTAGTTTTATTTATATAGTAGATTTCAGTAGCAAAACAAGCAAAGAGCTGTACATGGAAAAAATAAGTGAAAAAGTCCTTATAGTAGCATAAAGGTCATTAAATCATTACTGAATACGAATTAGTGAAGAAAAAAATATCCTGATAAGATGGAGAGGAGAATGAAAGTAAAGTTAGACTGGAAACTTAACTAATAATGTTCAGACAGCACAGTCAAAGGCCGCTCTGAACAAATATGCTTTTAAATTTGATTTAAAGCAGCTGAGAGTCTCAGATCTTTATAGAGTTTTCAGTGGAAGGACTGTAGAACTGGGTTGATGTGCTCTACTTTCTGATTATAAAGAATCCATTAAAAGTATGCATAAAAAGAATTATATTTAGAAATGTTTTAATATTTTAGATCCATGCCAAATGTATAATTTCAAAAGCATTTATTAAAACACAATGGTTCTGTGGATCTGCAGTGGCTGCGGCTAGGGCTTTTAAGGCAGGAACCTCTACAGGAGAGAAACACCGGTTAGTGATCGCACAAAATTTTATGGAGGCTGATTATAAACGCATGAGTCACTAACCTGGTTTGACAGTTCGGTTCGTGCCCAGAGAACGTGGATGAGAGAGTTTCAAACGCTGAAGCCTACGAGGCTCCAGAACTAGCAGGAAGTCAGATCCGAGAAGATGAAGGAAGACTGGATAATCCAGAGGAGGAAGTCAGGAGAGAGATAAATGTTCAGTCCACAGCAGAATTCAACAGGAGTCCAATGACAGGTCAGACAAACAGATCAGAGAGGGGTAGGCAGGCTCAAAGGTCCGAATGCAAAAACGGTTTAGGATTAGGCAATAAGAACACTATTGGAAACGCTAGAAAACTATCTACACCAAAGGCTGAAGAATAATCTGACGCAAATGAGTGTGAGTAAGCAACATAAATAGAGGCGGGAGCAGGTGGATCAGATGAGCAGTAATGAGAAACCAGGCAGAGTTAGACAGGGCAATGATATGAGTAATTAAGCCATGCATCAGAGACTTGACATGAGGGGGCCCAGAATTGGGATTGGTTAAAGAAAGAGGGGCTCTATCTTAAGAGATCTGGATACAGCATTTCAAAACAGATGGGATCTGAGATATCTGATCATAAATTACAGAGTCTACGTTTGGAGAAAACCAGTCCAGCACAGTGGCAGAGAGCTTGTGATTTGGACGAGCTTTAGCTACAGGAGCTGGCTACATCCAAACTGGGTCATAAATGGGATTATGATCCTTAACACAGCAGCAGGCCATGCAATGGTTCAGTCAAAGTTTGAAAAAGCTTTGGTGGAGCTGCAGAGAAACAAATGTCTGTAAACCTCAAAAGCAACGTTGGAGAGAATAGGAGACTCTAGCTCCTCCATGGTGGAGGATCACAGCAGCTCACTGCAGGTCTTCATTTCACTTCATGTTTTAAGTAAAATAGGGTAAAATTTCAGAGTTGGTAAAGCTTGAAAACTCCTTGTTACTAAGCCTAAATTCAGCTGCTGACTTAAAAGTATTCTTAGGTCCCTAATTTATTTTGCCACTGTCACATTAAAGCAGCATTCATTATATGAAGTGCATCAGTCTGAGCGACACCTCCTTCTTGAAAATGTCACGGCTCTCTCAGAAATTAAGCTGTTTGCCATTTGGTGCAGACAGACCTGCTAATTTCAGAGTGTCAGCTTGCTGAAAGCCTCACGGGGTCACAGGTGACAGCTCATCAATTCCAGCCAGTCGTAATTTGGGGTTTCAGTGACGAGATGACAGCTAAATGAAGTATAGTTCCAGCGACTCTCATATGCACCCACCTTTAACCAGGAGAGAGAGCTCAGGCACCAAGGACGAATGCTTCCTTTCCTCGAGCCGTCACCAGATGATGAGACAGAACTTGGGTCCCTGAACTACCGGAGCCCCGCAGCTCAAATAGATCTCACCTTGAGAGACGTCAGAATGATTTCAGCCCGCAGGACCTGAGGTTCTTGTTTATAATAAGTTGTTTCCACAATTTTTCAGCCGCTGCGGTATTTATGATTCATAGATTCAGTGTGGACACGGTTCCAGAGGGGCTTACAGGAGGACAATCTTTCATTTCAAGTTATCTAGATCAATAGTTTTACAAACTTTCAGAGGATTTTTTATTTCTTCTTTTTTTGAGTTTTCTTGCTTCCTTATTTTCATTTATTACATTTTCTGATAACTTTAAGAGGGTTTTGTCTTCTCTATTTAATCATCAAGTGAGAATAAAGGCTCCTAAATGCAATCAGACAACTAACCACTCAATTAATAGAAGAGTCCCAAGAGGAGAAATATTTTCTAAGTGCGGAAGAGAGGATTCCTAGTTCATTGTTACAAATTCTTGTCGGTTTATCAAAACCTATCCAATTTATTGAAGCTCTTCTGAAAACGTGCAACGAAAACTGATGTTTTTAAGTAGATGTTTTAAGCTTGATTTTCAATTTTAAGATTTAAATCAGCAAAGTTATCAGCAACTCTGATGGGTTAAAAGTGCTGATCTGTAAAACATTCATAAAGAACAATCACAGTTCCCCGTGTACTGGAGGAAATCACACTGCTG